TCAGGGAGAAAGCTATTCTGTGGTTTCTCATAGATCTCCAGACCACCTCATTAATTCCTGTCTCCTCCCATGCTGGTGCTCAGGCCTAGGACAGAATATATTCTAGACAAATATTCAACCACTGAGCTATAATCCCCTGCCATCCTTCTAATAGCCTGGAGGAAGGGAACAATAGTCAAGAAAACTGGGTATTTATCACGTGATTGTCTTATTTTAACGCTCAGAAATTTGGAGTGTAGGATTCAGTAGTTATTTTCTAGGTTGGGTGACTGAGGCCCAGAAGGCTTAAATGACCAGGATTATACAGCCAGGAAGATTCACACAAATACACTGGTCAAAAGGGCATTTAGAACTCATGGTCCAGGGCTGTGGTTAAGAGCATTGACTGCTCTTCCAGAGGTCCTGAGTTCAGATCCCAGCAACCACATGGTGGCTCACAACCATCTGTAATGGGATCCAACACCCGTTTCTGGTGTGTCTGAAGAGAGCTACATGTACTCATATAAATCTTTTAAAAAAGAACTCAAGGTCCATACTATCTCCCTTCCCTTTGAGTTTGTCTGGCCTGGCTCTGGGGTTGCCTTGTGAGGGCTTCTCTCAGATACTCTTCTGTCCCGCCCTGTCCAGAGGCAGCTGAACCACAGCGTGGACACACTCCCAGGCCACTGTGGCCCCAGCCCCGCCTGACAGGATGAGCAGTTCAGATGCGGGGCTGGAGGAGGAGCCAGAGCTTAGTATCACCCTCACCCTGCGGATGCTGATGCATGGGAAGGTGAGTGGGTGGGGCTGGCACAGCCCAGAGGTAGCACATGTCTGGTCTCAGTGCTTCCTCCCTGCCTGAGTGACAGGAGGCTCTGGAGCATTCATCCCCATCTGAGTCCACTTGTTATCTTTGCAGGAGGTGGGCAGCATCATTGGGAAGGTAGGTATCCAACTCTGCTTTATATTGCCCTGGACTCTAGCCTTAGCCTGGTAAAGAGGTGACCTATTAGGAATCTTGGTTTTGTCTCCTACAGAAGGGAGAGACTGTAAAGCGAATCCGGGAGCAGGTAAAGATGTGGTCAGGGGAGGAGCCTGGGGCCCTGATGCTGAGGGTAGGGGAGGTGGCCCACTCCACCTGTGATGAATGAATGCCCAGAAGAATGTTAGTCTCTAGGCTAGAGCCTAGTGGGAGGGGCAGACAGATAGATCCCAGCCACCACTGTGGGGAAGATGCCTGCTGCACAGTCCTTGTCCCACACCTGCAGAGCAGTGCCCGGATCACCATCTCCGAGGGCTCCTGCCCTGAGCGGATTACCACTATCACTGGCTCTACAGCTGCCGTCTTCCATGCAGTCTCCATGATTGCCTTTAAGCTGGATGAGGTTCGTGCCTAACTGGGGTGGGAGTCTGAGGGTGGCTGCCTGTGAGAAACCTGACCCTGTCTCCAGATAGCAGCTATGGGGGAGGGAAGGTCAAGTCCAAGGCCGTGTTCCCTTGGAGGAGGTCTAGGGACAAGGCATTCTCCTTATTCTTCTTCAGGAGAGTTCTTGAGGGAGGGTGGGGGAGTATCAGGGACATACCTGGCTGACTCACTATCCCCCTTGCCCACCCCAGGACCTTTGTGCTGCTCCTGCAAATGGTGGCAGTGTCTCTAGACCTCCAGTGACCTTGCGCCTTGTCATCCCTGCCAGCCAGTGTGGATCACTGATTGGGAAGGCAGGCACCAAAATCAAGGAGATCCGAGAGGTGAGCAGAGAGAGCTACCACCCATAGGAATGTGTCCTCTGTCCTTCAATGGGAGAGGGAACTAGAGCCCCTGAGGTGCTCTAGGCCCTTGTAGCCCTTCTCTTGGCTACTGGAAAGAAGGGGTTACTGTTTTCTATTTGTAGACTACAGGAGCCCAGGTGCAGGTGGCAGGAGACCTGCTCCCAAATTCCACAGAGCGTGCTGTCACTGTGTCTGGGGTGCCTGATGCCATCATCCTGTGTGTGCGCCAGATCTGTGCTGTTATCCTGGAGGTGCTTCCTGGGGTGGGAGAGAGGGGAGGAGAGGTCCCAGGTGCTTGTCAGCCATCCAGATTGTATGACTGTAACATTGGGTGGGGTGGGGTAGGCAGAGCTACAGCTGTAGGTTGATTGACTTAGAGTACTCTGGGATACATTCCCCTGAGACCCATGGGAATGCCATAAGGCTTTTGGGTTCTTGGGGAGGCCTGAGAGGATCTGACAAAGCTTCTCCATTTGTGCCTTACAGTCCCCTCCGAAAGGAGCCACTATCCCGTATCATCCAAGCCTCTCCCTAGGTACTGTCCTCCTCTCCGCCAACCAGGTAAGGGAAGACCTGGGTGGAGGAGGGAGAGGAATAAGGAATTTGGGGGTCTGAGGAAGGGACAGGGAATGATCTGACTGGACTACCCTGACCTGTCATGGTGACTCCCTTTTCATCCACAGGGTTTCTCCGTTCAGGGTCAGTATGGAGCAGTGACCCCTGCAGAGGTGAGTGGCCCATAGCCTGAGACACCCCTTCTTGGATTGCCCCCTCTAACCTCTGATCCTGTTCTCTGGCCCAGGTCACCAAGCTCCAGCAGCTCTCGGGCCATGCAGTTCCCTTTGCATCACCCAGTGTGGTGCCAGGTAAGCAGTTTCCGCTGAAGGAGCCAGCCAGCGGCTGGGCATCCCTTGCTGTGGATGGGGAGGCCCGTAGAGACCTAAAACCACACTCGGTCCTTCTCCTCTGCCTCAGGACTGGATCCCAGCACACAGACCAGCTCGCAGGAGTTTCTGGTTCCCAATGATGTGAGCAGGAGCTGGGGGAGTGGGGGCTGGGAGTGGTGGTAAGGGGACCCAGGGGTCCAGCCGTGGCTCAAGGTTAAATTCTGCCTCCCCTCTAGCTGATTGGCTGTGTGATCGGCCGCCAAGGCAGCAAGATCAGCGAGATCCGGCAGATGTCAGGGGCACATATTAAGATCGGGAACCAAGCAGAGGGTGCTGGGGAGCGGCACGTGACCATCACTGGCTCACCCGTCTCCATTGCCCTGGCTCAGTACCTCATCACTGCCTGGTGAGCATGCGGTGGGCAGCAGGGAGCACAGGCGGGGGAGGAAGGGAGCCCCTCCTGTGCTCTGGGGCAGTTCCCTGAGGCTCCTCAGCTCCTCCTTTCCTTTCGGTATTCCACTTAAGTCATCCATGTTGCCTCCTTTACTACTTCTGTATCCACTCCACATGTCCTGTCTTACCCTTGTTGTTTTTCCCGGATCTTCTCTCCTGTTTCTCCTCTTAAGCTGTAATGTCTGCCTGTGGTTTCTGCCCTCCCTCCCTTCATACCTTTCCTCTCCTTGCCCCATGCCTGCTCCTGTCTACTCCTCTCCTGTCTTTTGGCTAACCTCATGGCTCCTGTCTCACCCCCACTTTTCCCTTCATCTTCCCTCTGTATCCCTCTCTCCAGTCTAGAGACGGCCAAGTCTACCTCTGGGGGGACGCCTGGCTCAGCCCCCGCAGACCTGCCCACCCCTTTCTCGCCACCCCTGACGGCCCTGCCCACAGCTCCCCCAGGCCTGCTGGGCACACCTTATGCCATCTCCCTCTCCAACTTCATCGGCCTCAAGCCTGTGCCCTTCCTGGCTCTACCACCTGCTTCCCCAGGGCCACCGCCGGGCTTGGCGGCCTACACTGCCAAGATGGCAGCGGCCAATGGGAGCAAGAAAGCTGAACGGCAGAAATTCTCCCCCTACTGAGGCACAGGCCGGCTGAGGCACAGGCGGGGGCAGGCAGGACCGCCGGCAGGGGCTGCCTCCACATCCTTCCTGCCCAAGGAGACTTCACCATGGGGTCTCAAGCGCCAGTAATGCCAGACGCATGGATGCATCCCCTACCCTGCCCCATCTTTGGAGATCCTCCTCAGAGAGGGGACAGTTTCTGGCCCAGGGTTCTAGGAGTATGGCAGCCCCAGGGCAGGGGCCCCACCCCTTCAGACCTATGCTTGGATGCAAGGAATGGCCAGGGGCCTCCCGAGTCCCCTCTAGTGGGAGGGGCTACTCGTGTCCTCTCCATCCCTTTGGGCTTCATCCTGCTGCCCCTGTGGGAATTGGAGGAGAGTGAGGGGTGGCTGGGGCCAAGCTTCTCTTCATCCCCTGCAGATCCTGCTGCTTCCACTGATACCCTTTTGACTGGAATAGACTGGCTGGGCTTGTCCGGGGGCAACCCAAAGAGAGGGCTCTGCCTGTAGCAGGGGGTATGGCCTAGGGGGCAGGGGCCCAGTTCTCAGCAGCAGACACTCTGTACAGTTTTTTCAATCCCTGTTTTTGAATAAATATTCTCAGCGACCAGAAAGCTGTGAAATAATACTAGTGTTGGGATAACAAAACTTCTAGGGAAGGGGAGTAACTGAAACCCCAAAGAAGCCCAGTCTGAGTCCACCAGATCTAGTTGACCGACAGTCCCTTCCTCGTGTCAGTTCTGGGGTCAAAGCGCAGGGCCCTTTGGGGGTTGTTTGTTCAATCTCCTGCCTTTAGCACCAAATCAGGCCGGTTTCTGAGCAGCTTGGGTGATGAGTTTGAATCGAACTGTCCAGCTTCTCCATGGTACAGATGGCAGGGAACTCGTACGCCTCTCCACTGGTTCCTCCTACTGTGGTGTAACCCAAACCCTGTCCAGCTTGGCTCATCTTCTGGCTGTGAGCTCTTAGGACCCTCTTCTCTGTGACCATGCCTGCCTTTCTCCTCTCTGGACCAGGCAGTATTCAAGAGTTTGAAAGGCCTACGCTGGAGGGGTCCTTAGGAGATGATGGTACAGCACACAGATGGGAACACTGAGGCCCCTGAGAGGGTAGGATTGAGTACAAGGCCACACAGGTACTTTTTCTGCCCAGAATCAGGTACCTGAGAAACTTCACCAGGCTATGTACCACTCCCTCTACCATTTCAGAGCCAGCAGTTTGTGCAGAGTACCGGCCACAGCCAGAGCAGTGGGAGGATGTGCCCTCTGATCGCACCCTCCTTGCCCCAACTCAAGAGAAATCTCTCAGGTGGCCTCTGACACATTTGGGCTCTGTCCTGCCAATTCTCGGGTCTGTTGTGGAACCTCCGAAGGGCCTAGGGTAGGGTCCTTTCGGAGGCGCTGAAGGAGTGTCCGCAGGTCCCAGGCTTGCGGTGTGCAGGCTTTCGGGGCCCGAGGCAGTGCTCTGCGGGTAAGGCGTCCCAGCGCCAGGCGCACCGGACGCTGCAGCAAGCCATAGAGGAAGGGGTGAGCCGCGAAGGCGGAGTAGGCTACCCAGGTGACAGCAGCCTCCGCCGCTGCGGCGCGCGCCGCGGGCGCCAAGCACGCACAGGCATAAGGCAGCCAGCAAGCTGCAAACTGGCCCACGGCCAGGGTTGGGGCCAGGGCCGCCTTGCCCCCGGGCAGACGTGGCCGGAGAGACGGCAAGAAAGAGAGGCGACTGTCCAGAGAGTCGGAGCGGAGCCGGGTCCCGCGCGGAGGCCGGAGGGCGGCGCGCCGCGCCACCAGGAAAATGCTACCGTAAGCGGCCAGTAGCAGGAGGGCGGGCAACGCGAAAGCTAGCATCGCCCAGAGTGGCCGGAAGGGCCCGAGTCCCCCGGCCAGGACGGAGCAGCGAGCCGGAGCCGGAGGTGGCGCGGGTGGTGGCCCAAGCAAGGAGAGCGCGCCCAGGAGCGCGGCCGCCGACCACACCGCGGTGAGCACCAGTGCCGGCGCCGGGCGCGCGCCTGGCCGCAGCGGATGCACTATGAGGCGGTAGCGCGCCAGGCCGAGAGCGGCCACGCCGAGCGTGCATGCGGGGAGCAGAGCGGCCGAGAGGAAGCGTGCCGCCCGACACGACGAGGGGTCCAGGGGCACACTGCCCAGCCCGGGCGGCGCGGCCAGCAGGCCCAGAGGCATGATAGAGGCGGCTGCCAGCAGGTCCACAACGCACAAGTGCGCCAGGTAGAAGGCATCTTGCAGGTCCGGTGTGCGCAGCACCACCACGAGCAGTGTACTGTTGCCCAGCACGGCCCCCACCTCTACGAGAACCGCCAGGATAAACCCCACTGAGCCGGCGAGTTCGGTGACGCTGAGCCCCGAGCCGTTGGCCATCTGAATGTTCAGGCTTCACTAGAGTTGCTATAGGGAGAGCGGAAATGGAGCCTCTGGCTCCAGGATTCCCATCACCTGTCCCATGCTCCTCAAGGCCCCTCACCTCGTAGGCTGCCCAGGAGGTGACTCCGACGTCCAGGCTGCCATCTTCTTGTGGGGTTTGGTGGGCCCTGTGGATGGATGCTAGGCTGAGCCTGGCTCGGCTTTCTCCCCCTGCCCTAGCACAACTCCAGCAACTCAGTCTCTGTGGAGATGGTACCGGCTGTCACTCTGATGCTTCCCTTTGAAGACACACACAGCTTAGTAAGGGAGGGGCAGGGCCTGGTGCCAGCCCCCTTAGCCCTAACAGCTGCCAGCTGGAGACTGGAGGCTCTTCTATGAGATTGCCTGAGGGCACAGCTTACTGAGCCTAGACCCCTGCCTTGCTCAGGGGGTGGGACATGGGGGCAGTTTAGTCAGGCATTACTTCTATCAAGGTAGCCCAGGAATCAGTGGGGAAAAAAAACTTTTAGATTTGTTTGGAATGCCCAGGAGGTCTGAGGGAAGGAGAGAGAGAGAAATCTCAGGGCATGACACGACAGTGTTACCTTGGCACCTCACCTGTGGAGTACATGTGAAGAGGAGGCCTTAGTAGAAAAATGGATGCTTAGCTGGTCTTGTACTTGGACTGTTGGCAAACTAGCTTTCTTCTAAAGAGCACCTTGCATGTGTACCATTAACACCACCCCTCCCCCACCTCAGAACTCCCCAACCTCAGAACAAGACCTCCACATGAAACAGTCCTGGCCAATCAGGATGTAGCATCCCTGCCCCTCTCCCCCAGGTTGGTGGCTCAAGGAGAGCCTTGTAACTCCAGGGAGAGGGGGTCATGCTCCAGTTACAATACCCAACCCCTTGACAACCCTACCTAGACACTGAGAACAGAGCGGGTGTCTGAAGGACCTTCTCCTTTGAACCAGACTTAAGTCTCCTTAGGACTTTGATTAGTGGGCATCTCAACCATTCTGTGACCCAAACAAAACCAGGACCCTTGACTGTTCCCTAACTGGCGCCTTGCAGAATCCTCTTGGCAAACTCCTCAGGATAGAGCTTCCTGTCTTTCTAGCTTTCTTTTCTCCTGCACCGGATCTAATTTGTCAAAGGTCTAGGGAATCCAGTCACCAATACCACTGCCCGACCTCTAACTGCTGCCTACCCAGGGTAGGCATTCGTCTGACAGGCCTGGCCTTTGCCCCTGCACCTCAAGCTGCTCACATTTGTCCTTAGGCCCCTTTCCCACTCTACCTTCCTGTACCTGTCCGTCCCAGGAATATTCATTGGGGGAATATTCAGCCAATGGAAGTTACTAGCAGAAAACTAGACAGTAGCGGGTAGCCATGATATTTTCCCTCACAGCTTAGCTGAGGCCTCTACAGTCCTCTATGGAAGACAGCTTCTTTCCTGTAGCTATGGCTTCCTTCATGGAGGCTCTTCTGTGTTCTTGTGTATGCAAGATGAACCTGGCATCGTCACTGTCTCCTCCCGTTATCCGTCTAGCCTCTGGGTAGTGATGGTTTCCTTGCTATTGCTATTACCTCCTGTGTGATTGTTTCTGTCCTCTCCTTGTATCCAGTTCCTCTGGTCTTTCATTGTGTGATTCCTGTCTTGCTGGCTGGATTTTTTTTCCACCAACTTGTCCCCTACGGTCCACTCATAACAGTGGCTGGAGGGGACCCTTTTAAAAACAAGCCAGGTGGCACCTGAAACCAGTCCCCTTCCATCCATGGGGTATCTATCCATCATTAGTTTGAGCTCCACTGGGCAGCGAGGTGGCCTCCCAAGCTGACTTTTGCTCATTCCTACCTCTCCTCTTTGCCTGCCATACTGCAGGCACGACAGTCCCTTGCTGTTGGTGCCTCTCTCCTGCCTTGCTATGGTTTATTTGTTTGTTTTGTTTGTTTGTTTGTTTTGTTTTTTGTTTTTTTGTTTTTTGGTTTTGTTTTGTTTTGTTTTGTTTTTTGGTTTTTCGAGACAGGGTTTCTCTGTGTAGCCCTGGCTGTCCTGGAACTCACTCTGTAGATCAGGCTGGCCTTGAACTCAGAAATCCACCTCCCAAGAAATCTGCCTCCCAAGTGCTGGGATTAAAGGCATGCACCACCACTGCCCGGCATTTATTATTTTTGAGGCAGGCTCTACCATAGTCTAGGCTGGCCTCAAACTCATGCAGCTAAGTAGGACCTTAAGGTCCTAATCTGCCTTCATCCTGAGTGCTGGAACTCCAGGCATACACTACTGTATCTAATTTTCGTTCTGGTATTTATTCAGTTTTCTACTCACAAGAGAAGCCTGCCTTGACCATCCATTCCAAAAGCACCCCAGCTTCTGCTTACGTTACTCTGTTCACGGTGCTTTGTGCGGCTTGCAGGCACTGTCTTTTCCTGATGTCTCACTCACATCTATGTGCATGATCATTGGGAGCCTCTCTTCCTGGGCTATAAGGCTAGTGCCTCCAAAGTCATTACAAGAATGAGGCCAGCATCCTGTCAGCCTTAGAGATCAGGCTCCAGCCTCTTGGTGTGACTCATTCCCTGATGGACTTTGACAGGTCACTGTCCAGTTTCCCGTCATTCAAATGAGGAGGGTATGGGAAGAGGGGAGGTTCGTGCTGCATACGGCTGGCACACTGGTCACCTGCTTCCTTTCTAGAGCTGGTCCACACTGACTCGCCTCCTGTACTTGGCCATAGCTTGGATGTGGTTTGCTCTAGAGGGTGAAGCTGGATCTTTGAGGTATTCATTCAGAGAGTGGAGAAAAGTCAACTCTACTCTTCTTCTCACTGCCTTAACAGGCCTGCAGGTATGGGGCAACCTCATGGGCCTCCACAGCCCAGGAGACGCTCAGCAGGGTCCACAGGAACAGCAGACGAGAGAGAGAAAAGGAGTCTAGAGAGGACAACAGAGGGAAGGGAACGTGTGTGTGTGTATGTGTGTGTGTGTGTGTTCATACTCCTTCCCAAACCACTAAACTTAATTTAAAAAAAATTAGATGTCAGGTATAGTGGTACACGCCTTTAATCCCAGCACTTGGGAGGCACAGGCAGGAGGACCTCTGTGAGTTCCAGGCCAACTTGATTTGCATAGTGAGACTCTGTATTAAAAAAGAAAGAATGAAAGAAAGAAAGAAAGAAAGAAAGAAAGAAAGAAAGAAAGAAAGAAAGAGATTCAACCAGACGGTGGCACACGCTTTTAGTCCCAGCATTGGGGCAGATGCAGGTGGATCTCTGAGTTGGAGGCCAGTCTGGTCTACAGAGTGAGTTCCAGGACAGCCAGTGCTACACAGAGAAACCCTGTCTTGAGAAAAACAAAAACAAAAACAAACCACCACCCCTCAAGTCACCAAAAAAATAGAATTCTTTGTAGTGAGTATATATGCTTGTGTAAATGTGCAAAACTCAATGTGGTGTGCTCACTCCAGCAGATGAGGGGGATGAGGAGAGGGGCAGGGAGCATCTTCCACTTTATTATTATTGGGGGATATTTTGGGGTGCTGTGACACATGTGTGGAGGCCACTCACCTTTATGTGAGTCCTGGGGGGTCAAACTCAGGTTGTCAGGTGTCATACTAGGAAGTCACAACCAGTAACTCCAGTACCAGGGGATCTGATGCCCTCTTCTAGTCTCTGTGGGCACCAGGCCCACAAGTGGTACAGACACATGTGCACACAAGACACCCGTACACATAAAATAAATTGTAAGGAGACAGTATACGAAGCAACTGTCCTGCACTCTCCCAAATGTCAAAATGAGCTGGGTGTGACAACAGGCACACAACTGTGACCCCAGCGCTTGGGCAGATGACGAGTTCAAGTGCAGCCTAGGCTATAAAGGAAGACCCCATCTTCTATAACTCAGCCTGTTTCTTTTTTCTTTTTGTTTTTTGAGACAGGGTTTCTCTTTATAGCCTGGGCTGTCATGGAACTCACTCTGTAGACCAGGCTGGCCTCGAACTCAGAAATCTGCCTGCCTCTGCCTCCCAAGTGCTGGGATTAAAGGTGTGAGCCGCCACCACCCAGCCCTCAGCCTGTTTCTAACATCCAGATACGAGATACACAGGAATGCCTGGTTCACCTGGCAATGTTTAAGCCAAGGAGACAGAATCAGGGAGCTTTCCAAACGGAGGTTTCTACGTTGATGGTGAGGCTCCTATTTGGATATTAGAGGGGGCAGGGTGCTCCAGGGGTAACCTTGGGTGGGCAGGATGCCTGTGGTCATTATCAGCTCATGTGAGCACACACGTCTGGATGTGCAGCTGGAGGTGCCACGTGTAGAGCCACCGTGGAGAGAAAGGAAGGTTGTAGCCACTGTAGCACAGAGAAGCTGAGGCTGTGAGTCTGGGATGTAGCTCAGTGTTGGAGCACCTCCCTTAACGTCCCTGAGCACAAAACTGAAAAAAAAAAAAAACAAAACCAAAAACTAAGAAAAACTGGCAAATAGCCAGAGATGTAAGGCAGTTAGCAGGATGCATTACCCAGTCAGTGCCTCTTTAAATATCACTTTAGGAGGCAAGAGTCTGGGGCCACATCCAGGACCAAGCTAAGAGGAATTGGAATTAGAGGGTACTGGGAATCACTCTTTTAGATATAGGGGGGCCCTGTCAGGAAGAGATGAGATGGATCCAGCAATACCACTATTCCAAAAGAAATGAAACCAGTAGGTTGCTGGGGGTTTTTTTTAATTTTTTTTTACATTTATTTATTCATTTAATTTATGGGTACACTTTTGATGTCTTCAGACACACCAGAAGAGGGCATCCGATCCCATTACAGATGGTTGTGAGCCACCATGTGGTTGCTGGGAATTGAACTCAGAACCTCTGGAAGAGCAGTCAGTGCTCTTAACCGCTGAGCCATCTCTCCAGCCCCTGTTTTTAAATTTTAAAGCACTGTTCACAATAACTAACATGCAAATCATCCTGTGAACATTGATGGGTGGCTAGGCAAAGAAAATGTGAACATACACTAGAATACTATTCAGCTGTAAAAAAGAAGGAAGTGCCATTGTTTGAAACAACATGGGAGAACCTGCAAGACATTAAGTTAGCCAGGCCCAGAAAAACAAATACCACATGATACCACCTACATGTGAAGCCTAAAAAAGCTGAACTCCTAAGTAAAGCGCAAGGGGCTTAGGAAGATGTGTGTAGAAATTCAATCAGACAGGAGAAATTCGTTTAAGAATCTATTGCACAGCGGTGACTATAGATGACAACATAAAGTCGTTTTCCACCTCGTGATGGTGATAATGTTCTCATGAACATGCCACTGAGTTATTTTGTCATTGTGTATAGATTCTGTTCACAATGACGGAGAATGCAATGGTGTCATTAGGTGATATAATCTTAGTATTGTAGTCCATCATTGACTGGAACATTGGCTTCTATATTTTTGAGGCAGCGTCACCATTTATAGCTCAGGCTAGCCTGGAACTATTTTACCCAGGCTGACCTTGAACTCACAGTGATTCTCCTGTCTCACCCTCCGAAGTACTCCCAAGTACATGGCCTCCTTCAAAACATTGTTATTTGGCTTTGACTCAGGATTGTAATTTTTTTTAAGATTTATTTATTATATGTAAGTACACTGTGGCTGTCTTCAGACACCCATATGAGGACATCAGATCTCATTGCAGATGGTTGTGAGCCACCATGTGGTTGCTGGGATTTGAACTCATGACCTCTAGAAGAGCAGTCAGTGCTCTTAGCCGCTGAGCCATCTCACCAGCCCTAGGATTGTAATTTTTTTTGAGACATGTCTTACTATGTAGCCTAGGCTAGAGTCCAGATTCCAGGGTAAAGTGTTTTTCTTGCCTCTGCCCCGAGTAGCTGAGGCTACGGGTGTGTGCCAGTGTGCCTGGCATGTGTTAAATTCTTGGGAGGCAGACAATGTGATCCAAGAGCCAGAGAGAAGAGGGTGAAGATCATGGCCCAGCCTGGCAGGACCTGGGCAGGGCAAGCAGCTCAGAGGTGAATCTCCAGCAGGTAGCGCAGGCGACACTGGCTCTCCTTGTATATGAGGTACTCACTCTGGCTGAAGCTGGAGCTTCTGAATGATGGGCATGCTACAGGGCGGCCTTGAGGCACCACCACCGGCTGCCCATCCAACTCCAGTTCAATGTCCTGGGCGGGATCTGCAAGGGATGGAGGGCCAAGGGGGTGGGGGGTCACTGGTGCCCGGGGCTACCTATGACTTAGTCCTTGTAACTTGCCACTTGCTACAGGGAATGCCACCTTATCCCCCATTTTTCTCTGGGAAAGTCCTCAGCTAGCGCTCAGCCAATGACATGATTCTTTGCAGTCCTCTTGGCCGCCCTGGAGAGAGTTGTTACAGTGGGTGTTTGCTGGGTGACACAGGGAATCAGTTCCTACACTTTTTTTTTTTAATCTCTCTATAGTCTACTCTCTCTGCTGTCTTCTTTCTGAAAATTCCTCCAGTCCCTTATGTCAACCCCACTTTTAGCTGTACACCTGCCCAATATCTGGGGCTCACCAGGCTCTGTTTGGCCTCGGGCAATGACACTGTCAAAGCCAGATGGTGGACTCTTCAAGCTGGGATCATCGGTGGTGATGTGGTACTCTTTGCCGAGGGCCACCTCGCCCAGGAACATGTAGCCCACCTGGTGGCCCCCACAGCGCATGGTAGTAACTAGGGGACATGGAGGCCCAGTGGTAAGAGGAGACAGCTCGAGCCCTCCCCATCTCTCTACCACTTTTGCAGCCCGAGGAAGCACTCACCCTGGCCTGGCCCCTCCCACTTCAGCCTCCTCCCTGTCCCCTGTCGCTCAGCACCTCCCCCCACCCCCATAGGTTCTCAGTTAAGGAGTGAGCCATGGCATCCCATCCTGGGAGGGTGGGGGCGCCTCTCCCTGGCCTACTTTATTCATGTTGTCACTGACATCCCTCAGGCCCCACCACAGACTCCTCTGATTGGCTCTCTTGAGGCCCCACAGCCAGTCTTTCTTGGATACTCTGTCATCTTAGTAGACCTCTTCTCCGGTCTGCCAAGGACTTGAACCCCATTTGTTTTTGCTTAGACTCTTGCTTTCTTGGAGTGGAAGGTGATCACACCCGCCAGCGATGGGGACAGCTTGGGCTGATGAGGTCACTCAAGTGAGGACACCCTGACCACGAACTTTGAAGTAACTGGAGTTACCTTTGACCTTTTCCCACACAGTACCACACTGCCTCACACAGCCCTCTGATTTCTGCAGCCTTGGGGCCAAAGCCAGTGCCCAGAGAGGGAGGGAGGGAGGGAAAGAAGGAGGGAGAGAGACAGAGAACTAGACAGAGAGATGGGGGGGCAGCCTCCATGCCTCTATCACCCTCTCCACTACTCCAGCCACTCGATTCTTCCATGTGCACATCCAACCCAGGCTCTCCGTGACTTTCCGGAGAAGGCTCCCTTGATGGTCCCCTGTCCCTGCCCCTCTTCACCTGACACTGCTGTGAACTTCCACATGGAACGAGCTGTCCTGGTGAGGCCTGGCCCCCACAGCCTTCACTCCTTTCCCTCAGGATGTCTCTTACTTCACAGAGTCTCTTTGCTCTTATCCTACCTGTCTCCCCTCTTCTAGGATGGCACATTCCCAACTGCCGGGTGCTTCTTCCGAGTCCCTGAGCCCTGGGACGCCTCACTGTGTACTCTGGTCAGTAAAGCTCTCACACTTCATCTTTCAGTCATGGTGCCCCCATCCCCACCCAGGTCTTGGCCCAGGGGTGTCTCACCATAACCAGCTGACTTGCTGTTCTCTGAGGCAAAATAGATACCCTTGCCAACACGACCACCTGAATGGGGCATGATTCGGAGCCCACTGGTGAGGATGGCAGCCACCACGGCCACATTGGTGCCATGCCACAGCAGCCTCCGATTGCCCAGTTTGGAGTGGGCCTGGTACCTGTCTCCCTGAGTGGGGGAAGGTAGAAAATGATATTGACGTGCCTCGTGGAGGTTCAGATGTTCCAAGCCTAGGGCTCCACAGGTCACTGGCATACACTCAACCTGGCGGAAACTGATCAGGGTTGTTAAACTAGCTTAGCAAGGGGCAGATAAGTAAATGTTATGCCCCTAAGGGACAGGGTGGTGACATAGGGGCTGCATCTCCCTCACCTCCCCTTCTCGGTTTACTTTCCAAACATGCTGCAGGTCTGGGCATCTGTAGTTGTTGCCAGTCTGCTCCAGGTAGGTCTGTATTGCCTGTGAAGAACAAAGGCTGGTGGTCAAAGGTGGGAGACTTGTGGACTAGTGCCCTGTGGTCTTGCCTCTCCAGAGCTCTCCTTAGGTCTGGGCACATAGGTGAGAATGCTGCAAGCCAGGGCTCCCCGGGTATCTCAAGGGCAAGTGGGCAGAGTTCACCTTGTACTCGGACTCCCCAGAGCCCAGCAGTTGCAGCTGGCACCTGAGGAGCTGGTAGTCTCGGTCCAGTGGGTGTGGCACCTCTTCCACTGTCTCCTCCTCATCAGGGGCTGCCTGCAAGGTCTGGGCCAACTCGATGTCCGCTAGCACCTAAGATAACAGGCACTGGACCTTGTCTGCCTGATGGGCTTCCACTTCCACCCCAGCCTCTCCCACGTGACAGACACCCCACCTGCCTGTTCCATCCCCACCCCATCTCTCTGTCTGGTTCTTCCCTCCCTTGGCTCTCAGCCTGCCCATTGCAGCCTATCCCTCTGGACTGCATGACCGTCTGCTCCTCTCATCTTTGCCCAGTTTGCCTGGTATCCTCCGGGCCTGCCAGCCCTCACCAGAAGCATGTCCTTCTTGGCCTGAAGCACTTCAGGGGAGTTGATGGGTGGGGGTCGGCTGCGGCCAAAGTTGTGTGGGATAACAGTGTAGAAGCAGGAGGAGAGCTCTTCTAGGCTCCGGCCATCTCCTGTGGGGTTTTTCATGGCCGCTTCCAGAGCTTCCAAGGCCTCGAAGCCACGAGCAATCTGCTGCTTGCTCAGCTTTCCCAAGGGCATCTTCTTCACATCTGAGAGATGAAGGGATGAACTCAGCCCTGTGGCCCCTGATTGGGGGGCGGGGGGCTGCCACCCTGCTGAGAGCTCCCCCTCACCCAGGTCCATGAGGGTCATTGCATTCTTGAACATCTCTTTGCTGAAGATGTTGGTGATGAGCTTCTGGGTGGCAGGGTCTAGGGAGCAGGGCTTAACCACAGTCCTCACTGGGCCGCCATCCACCTGGGGAGGTAAGGCCTGCTTGGGCAGGAGCCATTAGGCAGGATGCCCACACAGGGAGCAGGGCAGGACATTAGAAATGGCCTAAACCGAGGCCAGAGACGGAGGCTGCGACTTGCTGGCAGGCAATGTCTCCCCCTCTGCCCCCCCTCCTGCTCCCTGCTGCTCCCTACTGCCCCCTACTGCCCCTTCACCGTCACTACAGCCCCCGCTGCTCCCTGCTGCTCTCTACTGCCCCCTACTGCCCCTTCACCTTCACTACAGCCTCTTGGCTCTCTGCTTCTCCCTGAACTTCTATAAGCGTGTATTTGTTGGGATGGACCACAAACTGGTTCCTCTCCTCCCATTTGTTTTTAGTCTTCTCCCAAAATTTCTTCTTAAAGTCCTTCTTTGCATCTTCCAGGCAGTTGAAGTGATTCATCTTGCTCTGGCCCACTTCTCCCTGCAAGAGACAACTTTCAGGGGTGTGCCCACCAAAAATGCTGGTCTCTGGGCTGGGCCGATAGCCTCTCAACAGCTGGAAACAAAGTGGCACAGTCAGCAGCAGTGGCTCTTTGGATACCCTTGTACCCAGAGGAGGGAGTGTGGGGGGAGGGCAGCCCTGGTGATGGCTCACTCACCACTCGGCCCCAGCGATTCCAGCAGAAGAAGCGACTGCCCTCCTCCAGCAGCTGGATGATGTAGAACTTATTATTGTTGTTGCCGATGTTGGTCTGGTTCAGGGTACAGTCATAGTCCTCATGGACCTGTGTGGGGTGGGTCCAGAAGGCAGCTTGGCTGGGCATGGGCTGGGGGTCACACTAGGGGACACTGGAGGGGGCTTGTTTTGGCATTTGGTGACTTTGCTCTTGGGATCACAGTCTGACTGGATGTGATAAAGCCCCATTGTGGGCATGGGAATCTGGAGAGGATGCAGCTGCTTCCTGGGTGGGGGAATCTGAAAAAGACCTGGCTCTGTCTTGAGGGCTGAGTTTGAGGGAACATGGAGGAGGGTCCTGGGGAAACTGAGTCAGGCTCCTTCCTTGAGTGTGATGCAAGAGGCAACACCCTACTATCTGATGGTCAGACATGATACATCTTCACTTGATGGAATAACAGCCCATCTTGGTGGTCTTCAGAAGACATGTACGAAATCCCTGGCATAGAGACACTGAGCTACTGGGTTAAAACTGAGAACCCAAGGAGAAGGCTGTGGTCTGAACATGGGTTCAGCTCACCTGAATTCCAGGGTTCCTGCTGAGTGGACATGAGGGGTCCACGTGGATGATGCAATTGTCAGCAGGAGCTGCTCTGAGAGCCTCAGCAGTGGACCGGAAGCTGTCCTCCTCCCCTGTCCCCTGTCGCTGCTTCTTGGAGCCCTTGGTCTGCACGGAAGACTTTCGTTTTGGAGCCATGGTTCTCCTGGGTGACAGGAAAGGAGAGTTCAGATTTGCCTTTTAGGGGGCTGACCTCGTACTTCTTCTTGGTATACAAATCTCCATCTCCAAAACTGCACTTCCTACCTCAGATGCCCCTTCTAAGTTGCAAGTTAGAGCCCCTGTCAGTTCTACCCACCCTGGAGCTAGGAAGAAGTTAGCTCCCTACGCTGTTCAGCTTGAGGTGTGCCCTGAGGTAGTAGAAAAAGTGAAAGAGGACTCACCCCTCCCACTTCTGGGGCACCTCCCTTTCTAGAACATTTCCTCCTCCTGTCAGTCATCTGGCAAAGTTGCTGGGCTGAATCATCTCAACTATGGGGGGGGGGCGACTCTATAAGTGGCCCTCCTGCAGCCAGATCTACCTCTAGAGCTTAGGACCAAGTGGTGAAGAAGCCTTTTGCTAACAGTCCAGAGTTCTGGGGTGCCAGCCAAAGTTTCAGGTAAGTGGCTTTCAACTGCCAGAGATCAAACGCCACTTTAACCTCACCCTTCCCTGCCCTGCAGAGGACTCCAGGGCAGGGCCAAAGGACACTCACCCAAAAGAAACAGGACCCTGGAAGAGGTGGCTGTTATCCAGCCTGGTATCAGGAATGCTGAGTGTGCTTCCTAAGAAACAAGTTCCAAGTGTGGGCTCCCATCTAGTGACCCTTCGTGAGCCTTCGGCTTGTCTTTGGTAGGGATTTCCCAGAAACCACCAGAGGAGGGGAAAGAGCTTAGGGGTGGTGTAGAATTCCAGTCATTTGGCTGCTAGTGGGGTGAGTCAGAGGCTGGGTAGGCCGATGTTGGTGGCCGGTCCCAAAGATGAGAGGACACTAATCTAGACGTATCCAATCTAGACTCGCCCCTCAGGCAGCTTTGACTAGGCACATGCACCATGTATCCGTTATTTTCCCGGTGATTTTGGCTCTTGGTTCGGATATCGTCTCCTTCTCTCTAGAGCTGCCTGAATCCCATTCCCTAAGTTTTAGAGCCTAACTGGGTTAGCTTTATCGCCGCCCCAGCGGAAAATCACAGAACCCCGCACTTCTGGCTCCCCCTTGTGGCCACAGGACGCAAACACAGACATGCCCTCCCTGCCCTATCCCGCCCTGGAAGTCAGGTGTCAGCAGAGCGCAAGCGCCACAGGCCTAGGCCGGAAACAGTAGGAGAGATTTGCTTCCTACTCCTGGCTGGAGCCGGAGCCTATAGGAGCTCCTGGAGGCGTGTCCAACTGCATCGGTCCAATAGACGATTGGGGGCGTGACAGGGTCTTCTAAAGGGTCCAATGGAGCTGGCTCGCCGCGCAGTGGAAACCTATCAGGGCTCCGGGTGTTGCCATGCGGCCGGGGTTTAGCAGCCATGTGAGTTCTTCTGGAGCGGCAGCGGCACCTTGATGAACATTATGTCGACCGCCGTGGCAACTCGTAAGCGGGCAAAGCCAGCTCCCGGTCCCGGGGCGGCTCCGGTGGCCAGCAAGCGGCGACGAAAGGTGAGCATGGTGTTCCCTTTGGCGCGACTGATCTAGCTTCTGGGAGAGCCATCATTCCATCCCAGGCCCCCCATCGGGGCATGTATCTTCCCCCAAGGGCTCCATCAGAAGGGAGCCTCCATCTCTTTTCTTCCACCCACCAAATTCTGGGAAACCTTCTGCTTGGTCAGGGCCAGGTGACACTTGCCTTTCTTAGTCCTGGGGCTCTTGACCAAGAAAGGATCGTTTTATTTCCAGGTAGACTCTGCTGCGGACAGAGGCAAGTCGAAGGGTGGCGGCAAAATGAATGAAGAGATTTCTAGCGATTCTGAGAGTGAGAGGTGAGTTGTTTTCTACCGAGAGGAAAGATAAACTGAGGCTCGTGGTAACTAGAAGACTCAGTGCTACTGGTAACAGAGCTGGATGTTTGGCTCGAGATCTTTCCTCCAATTTCTGTCAGTGAGATGTCGTTTATCTCTGATGTGTCTATGGGGAGGACCCTGGGCCTCCAGGGGAGGGAGAGCTTGGGACATTTTTTCGCCTTATGATATGGAGGCAGGCACAGCCTGGATTGATTGAGAGGCAAGGGGAGAAAGGTGCAGAACACACCTTCTATTTCATTCCGTTTTCACACAGTACCACAGCGACTGGCGTCCTTGGACTCCGTTTTGAGACAGATCTCCTGGGTTCAAATGATCCTACAACTTCAGCTTTCTAAAGGGTTAGAGCTAGAGAGTGTTTGTCACATATGTAGCCTTCCTAACTCTAGGGACTTGTTTCACTGTGTGTGGAGGTGTGCAGGGAGGTGTGTATCTTAGAGGCATGTGTTGTGAGAGCAGAAGAAGCCTTTTTAAAAGTTGAGTCTGGAGAGAGGAGGGGTGTCATGGAGTTGGTAGGAAAGAGGTTCAGGGACCAGAGACAAGGCTGAGATGTTAGTGTGCCAGGGTGGGAGGCAGGAAAAATAAGCGGGCAGGTGATAGCATATATGATTGAGGGAGGTTTGAACACTTCTCTCATTTCAGCCGGTGATGGGGATGGCTTCAAGGTTTCAGAGAACTGAGACAGGGTGTCATTCCTGGGGTGGAGATTCTTAGTCCCGGGAACCCTGAAACCTCCCTTATAAACTGGATTTAGTAATTCTGTAGTATACCCCCAGACAGGATTTCTCTGTGTAGCAGTTGTCCTGGAACTCACTCTGTAGACCAGGCTAGCCTTGGACTCAAGAGATCAATCTGCCTGCTTCTGCCTCCTGTGTGCCAGGATTACAGGCCTGGCTATCAGTTCAGCTTGTGAAAGTGAATATGTGTTGCCTTAACTTGCTCATGGAAACAATCTCTTTTTTTGAGGCAAGGGTTTTTTCCATGTAGCCGTGGCTGTCCCGGAACTAGCTATATAGATCAGGCTGGCCTCAACCTCAAAGACATCGGCCTGCTTCTGCCTCCAGGACCTATGCAGAACCACTTTGGTTTTTGTTTGTTTTTGTTTATATGTATGTGTGTATATGCATGAGTTTGTATGCACTGCTTACATGCTGATGCCCAGGGAAGATGGAAGATGTTGGATTCCCTGGAACTGTCATGCAGATGGTTAGGAGCCACCTGAGGGATACTGGCATGGAACCCAGGTTCTCTGTAAGATCAGCAAGAGCTCTTAGCCGATGAGCCATGTTTTCCTGCCTGTTCTTTACCAGCTCTGAAGTTTTTTTTTTTTTTTTTTTCGAGACAGGGTTTCTCTGTGTAGCCCTGGCTGTCCTGGGACTCACTCTGTAGACCAGGCTAGCCTCGAACTCTCGAACTCAGAGATCTGCCTGCCTCTGCCTCCCAAGTGCTGGGATTAAAGGCATGCGCCACCACCACCAGGCAGCTCTGAAGTATTTTAAGTTGTGTCATGAAGTAAATGTATTAGCAATAGAAGCACCACTCAGTTTTCTTCTGCTGAGCTTCTAACATGGGCAAAAGTAAAAATAAATGTATACACACATCAAATTCAGGGTTGAAACAGCTTTTCTTTCAAAAGGGACTTTTTAACAAAAGGTGATACTGGGTGTGTCGGTGTACACCTTTAATACCCTGCACCTGGGAGGCAGAGGCAGACAGATCTGTGAGTTTGAGGCCAACCGTGGCTACATGGAGAAAATATGTCTTGGGAAACAAAACAAAACAAAAAAAGCAGAATTGTCAAATGTCGTTTATAAGGTCTTGGCATCAAGTGTCTGTACCTGCTGAGCCACCATACCTCTAACCACCAGTCTGCGTTTCTGTGTGGGGCCCTTAAATAAGAGACAGATTGGTTTGGGTACACTCAGGAAGGACATAACTCTGGGGCATGGTCTGGCCTTGACCTTCCTGAGACGTGGTTTTTGTTCTTTTCTTTTAGGCAGGGACTTTGTAGCTCTGGCTGTCCTGGAACTTGCTGTGTAGACCAGGCTGGCCTCAAACTCACAGAGACCTGCCTGCCTCTGCCTCCCAAGTGTTGGGATGTACCCCAGGACACTTGTTCCTGACAGGTTTTAAAGTCCCTTCTGGTGGAAATCCTGGGCCCGGGTTCTGGGAAACAGCAGGCTTGTGATTGGAGGGTGCGGGGTGCCTTGGACTGCTGGCTTGAGAGTTCTCAATGGTAACCTCAAGCTTCCAGGAACAGGTCAAAGCTGAACTTGTCTTTGAGTGAAGAGAGTGTCCTGACCTGGTCCAAGGACTCTGGGGCTTACAAGGGACAGCAAGAAATTGGTCACATGTGGCTCAGTCAGTACTGCTTAGGATTCACTTGGAACCTAGCCCTTGGGGTATGAGGAGGATGCAGGGCAGCAAGCCTAGGGCAGCTCTAGCATGTCTGTGTCTTGAGTTCTTTAGGGACTAGCCACCCTGTGTCTTGGAGTGGTTGTCATCCTGTCCTTTGCCTTCTCTGTTCTGTATGTTGGATTTCCTGTGTTCAGTGCCCTGTGCTTTTGTTCTTTAGCTTGGGAAGCTCAGTAGAAATATAGAATCAGTTAGTTTTTTGTTACTCTGTATACTTGACAGTGTCTTTTTTAGCTGGGACTTTTAGAGATAGTCTTATTCTAGTTCAGGCCGGCCTTGAACTTGTAGTGGTCTCCTTGTCTTAGCCTTCCACATTCTAGGATTTTAAGTGTGCCACTGTGCCTGGCTTGACAGTGTGGTTTTCTGGGGGATGGTGATTGAGTTCAGGACCTTGTTCTGTCATGGCCACACCATGGCCATGTCTTCATTTGTCACGTTTATCCTGGTTCCTCTTCTCCCCCTCCTCCTCCTCTTCTCCTTCCCTCCTCCCCTCTCCCCTGCACTGGGTGTTGAGCCCAGGGCTTCAAAGATGCTTGTTTACTCTGACACTAAGCCAAGTCAGCAGGCCTGCCACCTTTTACTTCTGTCCTTTTGTATACAACCTGGCTTCTTATAGAAGCTTGTGGAATCTTCTCTTTCCCTTCTTGTTGAAATGTTGTGATAATTTCCTAGTGTTGGGGCAGCTGGCTGTTTTGATGACCTTGTGCTGGACACTGTGGGACCTTTCAGTTGGTGAAGTCACATCTTTCTGTTTTCTGCATGTGGGTCGTTGGCCCTGGGGGTTGGCAGGGGCAAGGCTGGCATTGAGGAAGCACAGTTCTAGTGGCCAGATGAGGGGGGCCATCCCCTTAGACCCCACCCCTTTTCTTCACAGCTTGGCTCCAAGGAAAACAGAGGAAGAGGAGGAGGAAGAGCTGGAAGAGACCGCACAGGAAAAGAAGTTACGCTTGGCCAAACTCTACCTTGAACAACTCAGACAGCAAGGTGAGTCGGGGGCTTGATGAGGGCCAGGGTCTCTGGCAGAGCCGACCTGCTGCCCCTGTTGCAGCTCCAGACATCTGATGGGTCAGTCACGTAGATTCCCATTGTCGCTAGTGCTGCTGGTGTTGGGTACCTTGCAGAGGGTGGCTAGTGTCTCTGATGGACCAGTGCACCCTGGGACAGACCAGACCTTTAGGGAGCCTAGTGTAAACAAAGGCAGGCAGGGACCGCTGAGGCACCAGGAGCTTCCTATGAGATCGGCACTCATGGCCCAACCCTTGGGTAGAGGGCTAGGCATGGGACAGGGGCGAAGGAGACTGCAGCCTGGAATTATGTGGCCTGTTCTATCCTGCACAGAGGAGGAGAAGGCTGAAGCCCGTGCATTTGAGGAGGATCAGGTGGCCGGGCGCTTGAAGGAGGATGTGGTGAGTATGGAGGACGGGGTGTGGGTGTGGCA